CCAAGGGTAGTTTTTCTAATTGCCCTGGAAACAGGCTTTAACGATTATACGAGATTGTAAAGATTGGGTTTAGCTCTAGTGGAAGTAATGATTCCATTAAGCCGTGTCCCTGTTGCTTCACCCATCGCAATCATACAACGAGCCCCTGATGGAGGATTGTATATGACGACGATGGCACTGTGCTATAAAACGATCGGAGCCTGGGACGGAACCTGCGGCGGCTGCTGTAGCCGCGTTTTGAATGGGAGAGGATGCGTAGAAATGGTTGTAACCTTCCAGGGAAGGATGTTCTGCTGCTCCCCTGCTGCTCGGTCGCGCATGTGCAGATTATCCGTGCTCCCCCCCTCCTTGGTTTCTCTCTCGCAATCTATTACTCCCTCTATGTTCTATGCTTCTCTCTCTTTCTCTATTCCTGCCGGCTGGGTGCTTAAGCTGGGCGGATGGCAACAATACAGCTCGGCTAGAGAGCAGCGAGCTTCTCCTGGACAAGCCCCAAGCAGGCAGCCAGCTGCAGCAGCCCCCCATCCAAAGCCAGTGGGTAAGATCGCAACTGACCCCCCCGTGATCCCCTTCCACCTTTACCTTTGCTGTCACTCCATGTCTGCTATACAGCTAATAAGTCCTGGAAAGTGCAGGGAAAATGCATTGCATCCGTGACATGTGAAGCTTTACTGCAATGCTGACATAGTGATGGTTTAATAGGGAGTCTCTTGTAATGCATGTCATGATTTGGAATTGCGATGGGTCCAGCATGTGCCGTTACTCTATTACTACTGTTTCCTAGGCGTACATGCATCGCTGGGTACTGTGCGGCATGTAGATTGTGCATTTGTCTGGTGCTGCAGTAGCTTGATTCGCTCTTCCAGCATCACACCAGCAGCAGCTAGGGACGGATGAAGAGTAGATATTAGCAGCTGCAACAGATATGGGAGGGGAGCGAGAGGCAGAGGGGGGCTAAGAATCCCCATCATCAGGAAACATTAGGAAAACGTGAGAACTGGAGGTGGCGGAGGAGGAGAGAGAGAAGCAGAAAAGGGAGGCATGCATCCAGCAAAGCGGAACGCTTCTGAAAAAAAAACCCCAACTTATACCTATAGTACCTCGAAATTTCTATTTCTGACGCCTGGGTGGGGTGCAGCCCATCTTTAGCATTGACTTCTTGTGAGCAACTGATATTTCAACATGTGATAATCAATAATCTGTATACACGCTCACGGTGAATTAAGGTCATTGTCGATTTCCCAGTGTATCACAAGGGGATGGGGGGAGGAGAGATGCGTAGTATTTATGTCTTCTGTAATGCGTTGCTTTAAAGCCAGCAATTAAACTAGAGGAGCGCCTAATGGATGTGCCTGTCTCTCCTGGAAAATCCCTGTATGATTATTGTACGTTGAGAATACAATGTGTAAATATTGATAGATGTTTAGGAATTGTGACTGATTTGTATTATGCAGCATATACTTACAGGATGGGTTCAGTGTCTCCTGTGCATCTTTACACCAGGGATAATTGATACAGTAAGATGCCTGATGCTTAAGGGCCGGTGAATAAAGACCATTTAATATATTTACCAGCAAAATTGTGCAAGGTTAGTGATATTACAAACAATACTACAAAGTGTTTTGGGCTGGTTGTATGTACAGTATAAGAGAGGAAAGAGGAGGGTATGATGTTGGGCAGTATGTACAGGAGAGGAGTGTGGCGGGTATGACAACAGGCAGTATGAACAGGAGAGGAGTGTGGCGGGTATGACAACAGGCAGCATGTGCAGGAGAGGTGTGTGAAGTGAATAATGCCTAGGCAGTATGTACAGGAAAGGAGTGCGGAGGGTATGACAGCAGGCAGTAAGTGTGGAGGAGTTTGGAGTCTATGACCACAGAGCGGAGGGTAATACCAGGGGCAGTATGAGCAGGAGAGGAGTGCGGAATCTATAATGGTGGGCAGTATGTATGAGTATGTGTAGAGGGTATCAACTGGGCAGTTTTCCCAGAAAAGGAATGTGAATGGGATATGTTATAAATATGTAAATGAGAGGGGTGTAAAGGGTATGACGGTATACAGTATTTGCAGAAGAGGTGAGCAGAGAGAATGATGTGGAGTTATGTGCAGGAGAGGCGTGCAGAGGGTATGATGGCAGGTAGTATATGCAGGACAGGAGAGTCTTCGTGCTGTGAGTGAGTGTGTGCTCTGTCTTCATGCTGTGAGTGAGTGTGTGCTCTGTCTTCATGCTGTGAGTGAGTGTGTGCTCTGTCTTCGTGCTGTGAGTGAGTGTGTGCTCTGTCTTCGTGCTGTGACTAGGAGTGTTCTCTGTCTTCGTGCTCTGATTGAGCATGTTCTATGTGCTGTGAAAACACGAAGAGCACAGCTCACCCCTATCATGCGTCCCCGCAATCCACATTCGGTGCACGGATGACTCTCTTCCGGAGTAATAGGCTCAAAAACTGTGGAACGAGCACATGATGATCTTCCAAAGAAATTCAAACTTTATTTCACATGCATCTGTACAAAGCACAACCGCTGACGCTTTTCTGCCTTACTCGGCCTTAGTCATAGCTAGTTGTGAACTAACACCAACTCCACTAAAATAGCATGCCACGCAGGCAGGGCCGCATTTACTCTCTCTGCTGCCCCAAGGCCAGGTTCCTCAATGCGCCCCGCCATGGAGAATAGCAGATCTGCAGGCTGCATACAAGTGATCTCGGCGACATCGCCGAGATCACTTGTACAGAACGAGGGGCGACTTCCCCGCTGTACATTTATCTCTGCTTGCCCAAAGCAGGGCTAAATGTAGAAAACAATTACCTGCCCGCCGCCCAGAACTGCATGTTCCGGGCAGCGGGAGATAGGAATTCCCCACCCCTGCTGCCCCGCTACTCCCTGCTGCCCCGAGGCCGGGCCTTGGTTGGCCTCGTGGGAAATCCGGCCCTGCACGTACTCTCACTTGAGAGCACCTGTATCCAATAAACTGTATCCAATAAACAGTCCATATAATTAAATAAAATAAAAAACAAGACAGAGGGAAAGAGGAGAGTACACACTTCAGAATTATTGGTAAACATCATCAAAATCAAAATATTGAATGATAAAACCCTTAATAACAGTGGGACACTAACATCTAAATATTATGTCGAATCACTAATTATTTAAAACCAGTGACCCATTGATAGTTGAGTCACTGTGGAATCTAAAATTACAAATAAATAAGAAATCCACAGGGCTACATATTGCAACAGTTATCTAAGCACATCATCTCCTCTAAGAATAGGAGGCACCCCTCAAAAAAAAACCGCATGCTACCTCCATTTACATGCTTCCAAAAAAAAACGAGGAATCATGGATGTAGGTTACCTCTATGCATTCCTCCAAGGTTGGAAAATACAGAGGCTAAGGGGAGAAAAAAATGCATGTTTTCTCCATGCTTTCACAACAGCGGAAAACAAAGGGGGAAAAAACACTAAACTACTGAAGAGGCATTGTGTTATAGACATAACAATTTGAAAAATGCTTGCATTGGGCTAAGGCATGCACCATCGTCTTGTAAAACACATTTAATGAATATTAAGAGAAAATATTTCTTGTGATGCCATAGAGCAGATCTATTTACTTGTAGTATACAATATAAAGTAAAAGGAAACCATTCGACAATAAAATATCAACATCAGGGTACTCTGACAACAATACATTATCTAAGATGTAAACTAATGTCCCACCGATGGTTGAGACCCCTATGGGATCCGAGTGTTCAACTTGAAGATCCACAGGGCCTTACGTTGTAGCAGTTTTCTGTAGACATCCCCTCCATTGGCCGACCGACAGCCTGCTTCTGACAGCTGGGCGGAGCCAGCTGTGATCTTACCGCTGGCTCCGGCCACTTGCAGAGAGATCAGCGTCCCTGGTTACCAGCTAACCAGGGACACTGATCTCCAGACAACAAACTCTCCCGGGCGCTCCGGGAGTCTCCCGCTCCCGGCCGCCAAGGAGAGAAACACTGCTTTTTCTTTTTTTTTCTTTATTATGACACGGAGCCGAGTCAGAATAGAAAAAAAAATTAAACATTTTTGGCCATAGGAATGCATTGCTAGATTCCTATTGGCTATTTCAATTTGCAATAGCAAATTATCATTGCATCCGCCCTCTGCTGCAGTTCTCCATCAGGTCTCCACTACTGATTGACAGCAGTAGAAGTTGGGTACAATAGCTAGTTTGCTATTGGCTATTGCAAATTGAAATAGCCAATAGGAATCTTAGCAATGCATTCCTATGGCCAAAATTATTATATTTTTTTTCTATTCTGACACGTCTCCCTTTTAGAATAAAGAAAAAAAAGAAAAAGCAGTGTTTCTTTCCTTGGCGGCTGGGAGCGGGAGACTCCCGGAGCACCCGGGAGAGTTTTTTTCTTTTTTTTGACGGCAGCAGAATAGCCGGCCAATAGAAAAAAATAGTTGGGCGGAGCTGGCTGTCATTGCTAGCTCAGCACAATCGTTTTCTATTTATTTTTTTCTACTTTTTAAACTATTTTCTGTTCTGCTCGGTACCACAGAGGGACCGAGCAGAACAGCCGAGCCGAATGCCGCTCAGCGGCATTCGGGAATTCAATCACCGCTGTTCGGCATCTATAAGAATAGACCGAACAGCAGCGAGTAGCCTGCCGGAGGTTCGGCTTAGCCAATAAATGTGTCACATGGGGCTCCTCTCCCGGTTTTTTGAAGAGTTTATGCACACCATCTCCCACAAAGTCAGCAAGTGAGAGACTTGACCACATCACAGTTGTGCGCTTCCATGTATTTTTGTTTCAGGAGGTCCAGCTTAGCCGATCCAGATGTTGGATCGGCTGAGTCGAACTCCTTCTGCACTTCGGGTCGGCCGAATATGCCGAGCATGTTCTGCCGACCTGAATCCACCCGATGTACGGCTGATTTCAGTCGATATACGGCTGAAATCAGCCGTACCAGGCTGAAGTGAATAGCCGAACAGCGTTCGGCTCACTTCGCTTTAGGTCGGTCATTCACTCGGCTGCCTACGGCAGCTTAGTGAATAGACCCCTAAGTGTGTGCTCTTTATATGTGCTGTGGCTGAGTTTGTGCTCTGTCTTTGTTCTGTGACTGAGGGGGTTACTCACTAAAGAGCAGAAAACATAGGATAGGGCTAATTAGTTGTAATGTTTGTATGGAGCAGAGATTGGACTATAAATTTGTATGGAAGAATGACTTGAAATATGTCACATTCATTATAAGAATAATGTAATAATTTGTCTAATGTATTTTAATATATATATATACTGTATATTGGAAGCAGCCGTTTACAAAGGGACTGATTTATAGTCCAGCGAGGAGCTGTACAAGAAAAATTTATAGTGCTACATGGCCACTAGATGGAGCCAAGGAGCACAGGAATTTTCCTATGCTCCTTGGTTCCATCTAGTGGTCATGCAGTACTGTGAATCTCGTCGCTGTGTGAATGGTTGATAAATCAGCCTCCAAGTGTAGTCATCATAGAGTAACCAGTTAGCAATCATTTGCAATTGTTCTTTCTGGTCTT